GTATTAAATAAATTACATTCTCTCATTCCTCAAAATTGTGGGACAAACAATTTTACTTAACATCTCTTTCTTTCCGAACCCGCATTGCCTGCTATTATTGCCTTGTATCATATAGAGACTACGCATTCTAAACGTTTCCTATAACAACATATTGCCATGTCCACTAGAGGATCAAAGGCACGCCTGGAACGGCTCCGCTGGGCCAGGCAGGTTTACTGATCAAGCCTTTTGACTGGTTTATTAAGATCAGGTTGTTAAATTTTAAAACTTGTTGTTGGATAATTTTCGTGTCCTTGAGATAAGTGAGGGGAAAAAGAGGGGGATATGGAAAATGCGAGATGGTTGGAAAGTGATTCAGCTAGAATTATAATTATAAAAACGTAGATACGATTTACTCAGAAGTTGAAAGAAATAAAAAATATTAGGTGTACAACTTTGCTCTCACCGTTTTTTTTTAATTTGAAGCTTTATTGTAAAAAATGGAGATAAAGTTATGACTCAAAGTATTGTCCATCACTGGCCACTACTTTCTCCTATCTTTTAGGCAATGTATAAATCCCGCGTCAAAAGAACTGGTCATCTTTTGAGATAATCTACGAATCTATCAATTTTCCGACTTCATAAGACTGGAAGTGTTGGTCAGCCAGGCCGTGTGCCATTGATCGGAACAAGTGATAATCTGAAGGTGCAACGTCTGGAGAGTACGGCGGGTGGGGTAGGACTTCCCATTTCAACGTTTCCAAGTATGTCTTGACCACTTTTGCAACATGGGGTCGAGCATTGTCACGCTGCAAAATTTCTTTCTCGTGTTTCTCGGCGTAGTGCGGCCACTTGTCTTTCAATGCTCGGCTCAAACGCATCAATTGAGTTCGATACCGATTGCCTGTGATTGTTTCAGATGGTTTTAATAGCTCGTAATATACTACGCCAAGCTGATCCCACCAAATACAGAGTATTACCTTGGAGCCATGAATGTTTGGTTTGGCCGTCGATGTAAAAGCATGGCCGGGAACTCCCCATGATTTTCTGCGCTTGGGGTTATTGTAATGAA